GGGGGGGGGGGAGAGAGAGAGAAAATCAGACGAAAACTATAAAAATGTTAAAAATCGTGAAAACTAGTTTACTGTAATTAAGACATGCTATGTTATTTCTTATATGAAATATACACGTTCGTTTAACATGTGAAAAAGAACATGTAGATATATATGTTTAATATATACTAGAAGGATATTCGTACAATGTAGCAAGATACATTTTGATTTTAATATTTTATTATTTATCTCAGTCGATGTTATAATATGGTCTTATATGATTTTGAGAAAGCGATACTGTTTTTATTTTTGAATAAAATATAAGTTTGAAGATATCATAAAAATTTGACAAAAATATATCGATATTAGTATCAAATTAACTATTTAAAATTCCGCATTTTTTGTAATTTTTTAATTCAATTTTTTTATTATAACTTAATTTAGGTACGATAACGAAGTAATTTATATTTGGGTTAATAATATAATTTTTTTATAAAGATAATAATAATTATTTTGTTAGAACTCGATAATTATTCTAATTATATTTTAGATTTTTTATATTTTAAAATGAGATGTTTATCCTCTATTTGATTATGTTTATCCGCATCTAGTTATACAAATTCAAACATCGAGCTTTAATAAGTTGTATTTATGCATACTTTACCTGTAATCTTGAATTTTAAGTAACATGCATCAATATACAGTATTTTATGCATAAAAAATGGTTTTTAAGAGTTTTTTGTCAAATGCTTTATAATATAATATAGATAACATACAACACACGAGAAGAGAACATATAAACACCTGGAATCTTGTCTTAAAATAAAACTCATCGAACGGTCGAAATTGGTTTTTACAGATCTGTAACGCTCGAAATTCTCAGAAATATCATGATTATTATCACACTTGCAACTATCAAAAACCTAAAAACAACCCAACAATCTTTGCCCCTCTCTATTTTCATGGAATCTTGCTAATTAAAGCAACTAAATTGGTTTGTTGTACTAACAAAAAAATTTCATTCAATTGTAGGTGAAATTGAATGTGTGTTTATCTAACATGAGTCAAGAAAAAAGGCAAAAAAATATATATATATAAAACCCAAAAAAATACCCCCAAAAATACAAAACTAGGGTTGCAACGAAAACGAACGTTTGGTTATGGTCACGAGATGGTTAGCTTCCGCTTTCCAACATTTGCCAATGTCTTCTGCTATTCGTTTAGCATCTGCTGATGCACCAAGCAAGCCACGTTTGGTGAACCCTACAGCATAAAGCCCGTTTGCACCTTTCCAACCGTTTGGAAACGGTCTTCGAGGGAACCCGTCTTTATCTGAAAACATCTCCTTCTCCTAAACACAGTAACATATATACTCTCAAATACCATCCTTTCAAGAACGAGTTGTCAACTTTTCAGATATAAAAAAAAACCAGTTTTATTCATTTAGTCTGTAACGAAAAAGTCGTTCATAGAAAGGAAAATAAAGAGAAAAGTACCTTTAGCCAATATGGTACATTGCTTTTGTATCCTGTTGCTAAAATAATTGCATCAAAATTCTCTATTTTCCCATTCACAAATTGTACACCATGATGCCCTATTCGTTCAATGCTTGGAAGTATCTACAAACATTAAAACACAAACTTAGTACAATATTAATCGAATTTATATAACATATTAAAACCTGTATTAAAAAAGCAGATCGATTTAGTTTCTGTATCATTTTTGACAAGTCAGATGGTTAAAAATTATATATTTACCCAAAAACAGATCAAAACGATTGAAAAGTCAATATTTTCTTCATAAAAGTTGGGACAATACAGCAATAAAACAGTCTTTGGTTGCAGATACATGTAATTATTTGTAAACTTTAAGCATACGAAGAAAATGTATTTGTGGGTCAACTCAATCAGTCCCGTTTTGACCATATTAAAAAGTACTTAAAAGACGTGCGTATGTTTCAAATCTAACGTGTTCGGAATCTTTAAATATATCCTAGAGAAAAATATAATAATTGACGGTTAGACGAGCATCTTTACAAATTAAATTACGTGACACGTTAAAAATTATACTGAAACAGAGAAAGTAGTTATTGTGTATATGAATTGTAAGGTTTGTTTTCTTAATTTGGTTCTAAACGTCTGTACAGTATATGCATACTTATGAATGTATAAAGAACATTAGTTTGCGTTCTGATTTCTTTTAAATCTGTACAATAATCATACTGATATATGTTTATTCAGATATACTTACAAATAAAAGAAAGTAGAATAATGGAGTACAAAACATGTTGGGATATAAATGGAGATATTGTGCTATGTAGATACCATGATCAAAACAAATCTAAATCCAATGATTATAGATTATAGGAAAAGGGAAATCCAAGGTACAAAGATATGTGAAGGGATTTAAGGAAATGGAAAGCACATTAAAGGTAAAAAGGAAAAAGCATCCTAAATAGTAACTAGGTTTACCTTGATGTCTCCCTTTTTGATCTTGGCAAGGGCCCCGACGTCCAACACCGGCGTCTTTCCTGACAAGTTTTTAAGCTCGAGTGGTCCCACCACTGGCCGGTCAAGTCCGCACTTAGCTGTGTTTCCAAGTACCAGCCATGACACTATCAACAGAAACCGGTCAACTAATCTCATGGGAAACCATTTCAGCAACCACATGGACAACCCAAAAGTCGATTTCCCCAACATATCTCGTGGTAGGACATGTACCTGATTTCCGATATAACCATCCAACCGTCAGTTTGAAGATCATGGGTCTAAATCTTGTAACGGAAACGTAAGTGACAGAAGGAAAAAAAGGTAAAATAAAGCTGAAGTTTGATGGGGTGTGACAACCCCTTTTTTTTTTGCCCTCATGGAGGGGTAGTTTCACTTTCATTGAGGGCCATGCACACCACCATATATTAAAGAACCCTTTACAGTAATGAAACACTCTTGTAATTATGATTTTTATTTTTTTTTTATTTTTTATTTTCCACTTCAATAGTATTTGTTTAAGGTGCTTTTCATGAATGGAGTTCCATGCTCCATTTGCTCCCATATGCTTGTGATCACCAACAAAGTGAACCTCTTTTGTCTTTGAGATTTTTCCACTAATTACAAGATCTTTCATAATTAAAAACAATCTAAAAAACGTTATTTAAATAAGCTCAAAAAATTTGTCGTTTAACGGCTTATTCGGATTTTAAATTCACGTGAATAGTAAATGATAAAAAGTACTTCAAACGTAATTAAATAATTCTAAATTAAATTCGATTTTGTGAAAAACAGTTGACGAGATTCAAACCTGGGTCCTCATATTTTATAAGGTGAAATGTTTTTTGAATTGCTTTATTGCGTTTTTTTGGAATATACAGGAAAAAACACTATCGGGTTTTAAGAATTAATTAATGAATTTTGATAAACTACAGCGTATAAACACTCAAAGAGCTACTTTTTATGCATACATCATTGCCTTTAATAAATTACAAAATTTAAGAAAATCTAAGAAATATATATTGTGATATAAAACGTTATTAATTATCTTAAAAATCATTGATTAAAAGGGTTTTTGACCTAGCGGTATGTGAGTCGTTAGCCTCTTAAAAGGTTAGAGGTTCAAACCTCACTAAAAATGAGAAAAGTGTGTGAGTTTATTTGTTTTAATTGTCGTATATAAATATTATATAGTTTAAAAAACATCATTAATTAGATGATTACGTAAATTTTCTAATAATAATAATAATAATGGTGGATAAGAACTTTCTTAAAATATATTTTAATTTTTTAAGTCGGCTTTAATTAAATGGAAACCTGAGATAATATAATTTAAGATCTGGCAAATAGAAAATTTCGTAATTTATTATGAAGTTTAAAAAAAAGTATTTTTGAATTTAATTAATTAGGCTGGGTTTTTTAAAATGATAATTAAATAATTAAAAATTTTAATTCTAAAAAGTTAATTGAAAAAAATAATCTTTGTCGAACATGTTAAAATTTTCTCATAAATCACAACTTTTAAGAGGTTTTTTTTTAAGTAAACGTTAATGTGCTTATCGGGTGTCATTTATCTTATTAAGAAAACGTGATAATGATTGAAACTTTTATATGATAAACCGATAATATTACCTAATAAATGAAGAAAAAAGACTCTTATATAATAAACGTGCGGGTAAAAAAACATAAATTCTTATCAATATTGGTAATGGAAAACGATAGGTTTATAAATTTATCAAATGAACAAAAATTAAGTATCTTTTTGATAATTAAGTTAATATAAAATTATATATATATATATATATATATATATATATATATATATATATATTCCAGACTGTTTTCGTGAGATTTGTAAAACCATCTAAATAATACTAAACCATCACAACAAGATATTGTGAAATCAATCTTTATAGTGTTTTGTTTTTTGTACCTTCATAGAGGGAGCTTCAGGGGAAAACCCAAAAAAATGAAGAAAAAAAACTAAGCAACACATTAGTAACCATTTATCTAGACGGTATATATATGTACATACGAATAATTTGAAGTTGTTTTTTGGTTTTTATGCACGTTTGCATATTATGCACGAATCATACCGGACAAATTGCTTAAAAATTGTTCGTATGCACATATGCATACAATTAAAATGAACGGTTATCAAACCGTTTGCTTAGTTTTTCATTTTTTATGTTACATTTAGATTGATCCCAAATATATATATATATATATATATATATATATATATATATTGTATTATAAAGTATTTGACAAAAACTTTTAAAAACCATTTTGTATTTAGCTAAGAAAATTAAGAGAGAAACTTACAGCATCCCTAACAACAAGAGTAGGGTTGGCATTGTGATTGCAGAGATCCAAACACACCTCCATTCCAGAATTCCCACAACCCACCACCAACACTTTCTTTCCTTTATACACACTTCCACTCTTATACTCCGACGTATGCTTTACCTCCCCACAAAACTCCACCATCCCTTTTATCTTTGGCACCACCGCCTCCGCATTCTCTCCGGTAGCCACCACCAACCACCGGCAAACATACTCCATCTCCTCCCCTTTCATCCCTACACTCTTCACTCTCCACATCCCTACACTCTCATCATACTCACTGCTCTCCACACTTTGCTCGAAAACCGGTTCGATTCTAAACCTCTTTGCATAAACCTCTAAGTACTCAACAAACTGTTGCTTAGTTGGGTACGTCGGAAAATCCTCCGGGAACGGCATCAATGGCAACTCACAAAATTTCTTGGGAAGGTGTAACCGGAGACGATCGTAGGTTTTGAGTTGCCAGAGTGAAGCTATACAGTTTGATCTCTCGAGGACGACACTCGGGACTCCGTTCTCTTTCAAGCAGGCGGCCGCTGCGAGCCCAGATGGGCCGGCTCCAACGATCACCGGACCAGGAACCCAGACTTGACGTCTATATCTTGAATATGAAAACACACAGTGAGGATCATGAGCCATTTTTCCTTGTATTTCTCTTAAATTATCCATCTTTATATATGGGTTTGAAGGATTAAAGCGAACAGATTTGTGGGTTTTGGATGAATTAAATGATGAGATTAATTAAAGAAAGAAAGAGAGAGATGAAGATGGTGATATATGAATACACACATTCCTTTTGTTCATAAGAGAGTATATATGAGAGGGTGAAGTGAGGAAGGTCAAGTGGTAGGAACTAACGACGGGAGTGGGGACATATATATAGTTTTTTTTTTTCTTTTTAATTTTTAATTAATTTATTTATTTTTATATATTCTAAGGAGATAAATTGAAGTCACCTAATTAATTATAATATGTTTTTTGTTTTTTTAATGTCATCATGATCTATTAATATTTGTACATGGTACGTACTTGTTATTGAGTTTGTACTTTGTGTATATACATATACATATATATATATATATATATATATATATATATATATTAGAAAGGTACTCGTGCAATGCAACGAAATACATCTTCATTATAATATTTTATTTTATTTTTTATCACAGTCGATGTTATAATATGGTCTTATGTTATTTTGAAAAAATGCTGATGTTTTTATTTTTTAATAAAGTATAAATTTGAAGATATCATAAAATTTTGACAAAAATATATCGATACTAGTATCAAATTAACTATTTAAAATTCCTCACTTTTTAAGTAATTTTTAATTCAATTTTTTTACTATAATTTAATTTAGGTTCAATAACGAAGTAATTTATATTTTGTTTAATAATATAATTTTCTTATAAAGATAATAATTAATTATTTTGTTAGAACTTAGAACTCAATAATTATCCTAATTATATTTTAGATTTTTTATATTTTAAAATGAGATATTTATCCTCTATTTGATTATGTTTATCCGCAGTTAGTTACACGAATTCAAACATATAGCTTTAATAAGTTGTACTTATGCACATAGGTCGCACCAAATGTCGTTTGTGTCTATGATTTAGTATCACATAAAGAACACTTTTATCACATATAATAATCATACGTGAGTGGCTTAGTGGTGTAAGAACAACTTCGCTCACTACCTAGATTGTGCCGAAAGTTGTTGGATATTTTATTTAGTATCGCATTTGTATCGTATTTGATGGAATATAGTATCACATGTGATTGTCTATAATGTAATATTGTTCTCGTAAATTGAAAGTGTTCTCGTTTGAACACTTTCATACACACACACACACATATATATATATATATATATATATATATATATATATATATGAGACGTTTCATTTACAAACCATGTAATTCTAACAAACTTTACAAAGTAATCTTAGCTGTTGTTCTAGTCTAATAAATATGTTATTTTATTTTGTTTTCTAATCTAAAGGCATGGTCATGCGATGGTATTAAATTGGACATGCATTTAGATGAGTAATGATTAACAAATTTAAATTTATCGAGAGATAAATGAATTCGTATTTTAATATAAAAAATAATATCAATTGGGTCACGGAACCATTTTGTATCCTATAAATGAACGTATTTTATTTTCAATACCAATGGATGTGTTAATTATAAAATTGAAAAATATCATTTATTCGTTTACTTCTTTTAGGTATTGGACATATGAAACCAAAATAAGAAGTGAGAACATAAAAAAGGTTGCTATTTCCACTTTTATTGGTTAATTATTTTTTATTCGTCACATCAATTTAAAAAAGTTACACAAATAATAAATATATAATATATATGTGGATGGAAATATATATATATATAGTTTGTTTCAAATACAATCTATCGCATTTGTACAACCAATGCAACCCAATAAATTGATATATTTATGGAAATGATAAGAGTTCATTTATTATGATTTAAATATTTATGGAAGATGAATATGGTTCATTAATCATGATCAATACTTTATATTAGGAAACAATCAAAACTTCTATGAAATCATATACTAATCTAATTAAATGTACGGTTGAGATTTGGTTGTATTGGTTGCACAAATGTCAAGGGTTGTATAATAACAAACCTATATATATATATATAAGATTAGGTTCACGTAACACCAGCCTGTTTTCGTAAGATCCGTGAGACCACTTTTTTACACTTGAAACTTCACAGTAAAACGCTGTGAAGGTAAATAAATCCGAAACTTCACAGCAAAAACACTGTGAAAATTACTTTCACAGTGTTTAGCAGTGCAATTTCAAGTGTAAAAAAGTGGTTTCATGGGTCTCATGAGAACATGCTGGTCTCACGTGATTCCAAGTCTATATATGTGTGTGTGTGTGTGTGTACAAGGACCTAATCAAATGAGAATTGTTTTGTTTATAGTAACCGTAAGATCCATTTTCAACCACAAATCAAAAATTAAATTAGAAAATTAATAATTTTGGTAATTTTAACTTAAAACGTTAATTGAAGGCCTTTTAGGGATTTTATAAATATCATTTTTCCTCTCTCCGGCAAATCTTATTCCTATAAACTTTATGTGAACACAAGATACATACTGTGATACTTACAAATGATATTCACTGTGATACCTAGATATACATACAAGATACACAATATGATACTCTTTGTAAAACAATGAAAATAACGAAAATGCACACTATAATATATTTCATAAAACAAAAAAGGGAAAAGTTCAAAAAAACCCAATAGACTTTACTGTTTGAAACGATTAAACCCTTGGACAATTTTTTGGAACAAATAAACCCTTGGACTTTCTAAAATCTGTCAAAAAAACCCAATGGACTTTACTGTTTGGAACGATTAAACCCTTGGACAATTTTTTGGAACAAATAAACCCTTGGAATTTTTAAAACCTGTTAAATAAGTCCTTGGACTTTACAAAACCTGTTAAAT